AAAAAATTGTGTAGATCACCGGAAATTTTTCGGAAAATAAACTTGCCCCTTGATTTTTAGGACATGTCACACGACTAATAGTAATTAAATTTTCTGTTAAAAAATAGTAAACAAGACATCAGCAATAGAAACAATTACAAAGATCATGAGGTTGAGTTAACAATATTTCTATACATAATTCATCATAAAAATTAATTTTAGCTTAGTAACCATTCTCACTTTTCTTAATAAAATTTCGAGATATTTTCCATTAAAGGTTTTAATTGTTTTCATGGTAAATTGTTATTTATAAAATCCTTTGATGATTTTTACTTTTTTTCCATTTGATCAATTAGTTTATTAGTGTTTTCACAAAAAAAAAAAAAGAGAAAAAAGAGTAATCATTTAATGATGAAGTTGAAACGACTAAATGATTTATATTGTTGCCATTGACAATGTTAGTTGCGATGTTGACATTGCAGTAGTATTGGTGATATTGGTATCGTCAATGATATTATTTGAAAACGTTTAAGGTGGTAGGTAGAAGCTGTTGCGCAATAATGATATCATGGTTTAAAGTTATTATTATCATCATTGTTATTTGAAAAATGATTTTGTTTATAATTATAATAATAATTTGTAGAATTATCTAATGAATTTTCATTAGAATTTTGATGGGTTTACATTCAACTCATATTTATAAAATAATATCGATTTTATGCTTTAAAAATATTTATTATGCAAAAAAAATTTCGACATGTGCTTTACATGAATTTGCCTTTATGGTATCTTTTTTATTCTTAGGAGGACAATCACTGTTGGACATTGTCCAATACATCTCATGGACATATTGAACAGCATTCAATGTTTGTATTCAATTGACAACTGTTGGACATTGGACAGTGTTCACCATGCCCAATGGCAACCCTGGATAAATGTAAATCAAATATAACATGGCTTGATCAACTCTCAAGTGGGGCCTGGTAGCAATATATTTCTAAGGTTAGAAGAAGTTCAGGTTAATGTTAAATTAAAATAAACCATTTTTTAGTTTTCAAAAAGAAATGGTTTAATAAATATAATTGAAATGAGGTATTGATCTATTCAATCAACAATGTATTATACTTTGATTTATTACATTCTCACTGTATATGCTCGTTCAATATAATAAATAAATTAATAAATTAATAAATAAAAAATAATTAATTAAATAAAATTACTTTTAATGTTGAAAGAGGAAAATATTAATATATTATTTGCTTGTGTTATTGTTTAATGATAACAATAAAAAAAGAATTTTAATTATTTATAATTTCAATTCCTTTGGTTTTTCCCATGGGAACTATGTATTAAAATAAAAAATATTATTATTATTATTATCATAATCATCCACAATAAAGACACTTAAACTTGCTCAGAAAAAAAAGATGATGATGATGATGATGATGATGATGATTATTAATTACCTCATCACGACCAAAATGTCCATATGAAGCAGTTTGTTCATAAGACCAACCATTTGGTTTATGGAGACCTAATTCTTGCACAATAACACCTGGTCTTAAATCGAAATTCTTTTTAATGATGTCTAACAATTCCTTGTCAGTTTTAGTTGATGTTCCATAGGTATCAACAAAGATTGAAAGTGGCTCTGCAACTCCGATTGCATAAGAAAGTTGCACAAGGGCACGACGTGCAAGTTTAGCACTTACAATAGATTTGGCAATCCATCGAGCTGATAGATAATAAAAAAAGTTTAATACATTATTTTTTTCAGTAAAAGATTATTATTACTAATTTAACCTGTATATGCAGCAGAACGATCTACTTTAGACCAATCTTTTCCAGAAAATGCACCGCCGCCATGTGCACCATGTCCCCCATACTGATAAATAAATAAATAAATAAATATATATATATATATTTATTAGATAATGATTTAATTATTTAACGAAATGAAATTAATTCCACCAATCGTTATTATTTACCGTATCAACAATGATTTTACGTCCTGTTAATCCAGCATCACCTTGAGGACCACCAATAATGAATTTTCCAGATGGCTGTAAATGATAAACAGTTTTTTCGGTAAGATATTTTGCAGGTATAATTGGTTTGATAACTTGTTCATTTAATTGTTGTTGCAAATCTTTTAAAGTAATGTCAGGTGAATGTTGTATAGAGATAACGATTGTATCAACTTCAAGAGGGATTAAAGCTCCATTGTCATTTTTATAACGTACAGTAACTTGTGTTTTAGAATCTGGTCTAATCCTATATAAATATTATATATGAGTGTAAAATGGTGCGAGTGCGAAGAGAATGCGTCAGTGCAAGTGTGAAGATGAGAGAATGAGAGTGTGTGAGTGTCAGAAAAAGAAATTTTTACCAAGAATTGCCACTTCTACGAAGGTCAGACATTCTTTTATTCAATTTATGTGCAAGTGTAATTGTGAGTGGCATTAATTCGGGAGTTTCATCAGTTGCGTATCCAAACATAATGCCTTAAAAAAAAAAGAGATAATAAATTTTATTTATTTATTTATTTATTTATTTATGCCTATTTGTATATGATATTTTTCTTTTCTCGAATATTGGATGTATTAGATAATTACCTTGATCACCTGCACCGATATCTTCAAGATTTTGACCTTGTCGGACAAGGCCTTGAGCAATATCAGGTGATTGTTGTTCAATTGCCACCAAAATATTACAAGTTTTATAATCGAAACCTTTTGAAGAATCATCATAACCTATACGTTTAATAGTATCACGTATTATTCGTTGATAGTCAAGTGTGGCAGAAGTACTAATTTCGCCAAATACAAAAACAAGTCCAGTTTTTGTTGCTGTCTCGCAAGCAACTTTGGAAAAAGGGTCAGCTTTTAAGCAAGCATCTAGGATTGCATCGGATACTTGGTCGCATATTTTATCTTAAATTTTTAAACAATTATATATATACTGTAAGTTTATATACTGTATATTAACTAATTATTATGAAATTCAATAAATTTTAATAAATTTAACTAACCAGGATGACCTTCACCGACAGATTCTGAAGTAAAAAGAAAAGTATTTTCCTCACTCATTATATAATTAAAATAATTAAAATTATAATTAAAAATTAGATTTTTTTTTTTTCAAAAAAAAAAAATTTATATTTGATAATCGATCAATTTTCTCTAAGATGTGATTGATTTACGTACATGAAAAGTCGCACATATGCACTTCAAATTTCATCATTACTATTACATTCCTAAAGAGTTTGGGGTTTGTAACAAATTAGTTGATATCCTTTTATGGATAGATTAGCATTACACGTATCTAATACGACAATTTATACGTGGAAGAGTATTGTAAAATCGAAAAAGTACCATTTAGAAAAATGACATTGCACAGACTATATATAATACCATTTCAAAATTTACACAAATGTTCTGCTTTTTTTGTTGTTTTCTGAGCAGAAAATAACTTTTCCTGAGTGGGTATTAGATTTTAACTTTTATTAATAACAAAGTTGCTCTAAAATTCGTTTATTTCATTCAATCCTAACATCCAAATTGTTAATGATCTACAGTACATCTTTAATCATGGAATATTAATATTTGTTAATAAGAATATGGCACGCCATGCTTGACAAAAGTGTACCACATTTTGTTGTAAATAATTTGCAACAAAATGTAGTCCAGCATGACGTTGCCATATTTTCGAAATGTTCTGATAAGCAATGTGATTTTAATTATTTTGATTGGTAGACCTCAATAGACAATAATTGGATTTTTATCTATGCTGCTGATAACAGTAGCATATTTTTCAGCATACAATCAAACTTGTCACAGCACTGCAGACTATAATTAGATTCTTGTCATGACGGATTTTTAAAATTTTTACTTCACATATAAAAACATATCGAAATCCGTTAATTATATATATAGTCTGTTGTGACGAGGTCTTCCACGACAAGGTTGGATTGTATTTAATAAAATAATAACAGATTTTCGGAAAAAAATTTCTAATTACCCAAGCTATTTGCTAAAACCAAGATTATTGATAAAGGATGTTATTTAGTGATGGTGGCCGAAACTATTTTTGAAAAAAAGGCAGTTTCGCCCAATACTATGGTATCCCAATATTTTTTATAATAGCAGACATAAAATAAGCATCTAAATCGTTTCGATTTTTCAGATAATTGTCATTCTCCTCATTCTTGAACATTCTCTAGTGCTAATGAATGTGTTTCAACATCTCGTTTTCTTTTTGCAACTTCCTCTTGTAAATCCTCAATGCAATAATCATTTATTAAGAGGTCAAGCAAGACCAATGTTATTTTGTGTATACTGTATATTGCAAATAAATTTATTAAAATATTATTTATAAGATTAAAAACTCTACATGGCATTTTCACCAATAAACTTTGGTGAAGTTTTTTATTTGTGTTTGTACCGTTACTACTACTACTGTTGCCGCAATCATTGTTAGAATTCCTATGTTCAACATCTTGTTTCCTTTGTCAACTAGTAACAGGTAATGTCATTGAATTATCATTATTATTATTAAAGTATATATATATATTATAATATCAATATATAACACAAGCCTTTGCAGATACTCTTCTGAACCTCTTCTTCATAATCATTGCTACCTCTGTAAAATTATTATTATAATTCCCCAAAAACATTATCTACAATAATGATAATGGAACTTACTTCACTCTCAGTTGGTTTAAATTCACCAACTGAATCCATTTTTGCTTCCAAATAATTATCATTTTCACACATGTACCTAAGAATACCAACCAATCTTTATGAAATCCTGCTACATCTTGATTCCAACTCAAATTTGGTGTCCCTTCATAATATACAATATTTATTGAATCTAGCCATCCTTTTACACCTTTTAATTGATCCATTGAAATAGTATTGATATGTGTTGGCGATTGCGAATAATCTTTTAAAAATCAATATCATGTCAAAATTATCTAAACCATATTGTGTTTTTTCTAAATTCGTTACTTTTACATCAGTTAATTAAAATCAGTGATGTTACATAATAATAAACTTTTTAAATAAAAAACTATTTAAATAAAATTTGTATCAGAGCCTTCAACTAAAGAGATACAAACATGAAACTAAGGGTAATTATAGTAAAAAATAGAGTTTTTTTTTATAGATATAAACTTTATAACCAAATAAGACAGGGGAAAAGGTCATTATAGAATTATAAAAGGTTTTGTTTAATTTTATTATAAAAATTTCACAAATTTTTTTAATTCATGTTTTCCAAAAAAAAATATACTCCAACACGTGCCCTTGTTTATATTTATTAGCCGATTTCAAACTCTCTTTTTTAATAATTTTATGTTAACACTTGCTAGTTAACCAACGTTAGTCTTAATATTGTTTGCTTGCTCACTAAAGCAAATAAGCATGACTTTTTACCAAAGCTCTACAAATTGTTACCTTTTACCAAAGCACTAACCACATTATCAAATTGCTTTAAACAAAGAAAATAAAGACAATGTTTTTGTATTATTTTTATTTTTTAAAAGTTTATTAATGATTAATTTTATTTAATAAAAATAATGATTCTATCGCAGAATTTTTTATTTTATTAGAATGTTAAATTATTTATTATTTTTCTCCACGAGGAGGACCGAAGCTATGCTTTTCAAGTAAAGACCAAAAGTTATCCTTGATGAAATTTTCATTGATCATACAATAGGGATAAAAATAAGGATGGTTTAGTCATTGAAAGTAACTTAATCAATCAATATTGGTGTTGTGAAAACTTCAAGTTTTTGCGTAAAGTTTTCATTTGATAATAATAATAATTACACTAAAATGAATCACGTAAAGTACCGAATTCTTAATCGATGATTTTATCTACCCTGATCATGTATCACGTTATAAATGAGTGTTTTGGAACTGAATTCGTGTTCAGCAAAAAGAAAAACTTGGCTCCATGGGAACAACTGATGAATAATGGTTGTAACCGTTGATTATCTGTACTTTGTCGGATAATCGGTGAATAATCAGTGAACATCATTCGGCGGATACAACTATATACTACTAATAAACAAAGAAAGAGATTGGGATACATAAGAAATATATATTTATTGTGAGATTTTATATTTTAGTTGACTTAATGGCAGTGAATTTAACGTAATAGTTTTACAACTCTGGTCAAACAACATTAATTCGAATACATAGCAATCGTTAACTATATTTATTAATTAATTGTGCAACTGTAAATTATATTATTTTTTTTGTTCGTCAGTACGTTATAATTATTGTTATCGATTAATTTTTTTTTTTTTTCCCCAAGTTGAAGTTTATTTTTATTAAAGTATAATTGTGTAAAATATAATAATAAAAACAAACAATTAAATAAAAAAATAAAACTACTGCCCCTGCTACTATTAATCCAAAGAAAAAAAAATTTGGAGTGCATGGGACCAACTTGCCATTTAGTAACTCAAAAATCGAACCAGCTAGGCCTACTTAAAGTTAATGCCTATTCACCTAACTGGTATTCTCGATTCAATGGCTAGTTAACTATTACTATAAAATCCAACCACTTGCCTCCAAATCTAATTGAATGTAATATCCCCTTTTATCCAATTCTAAATTGTCATTAAGGATATTATGATCATTAGATATTGTAGATACATAATTTAATGGTTTCTTTTTATTTTTTGCTTTCTATCTATACCAGCAGAATGTTCATTGATTAGCATTATTTCACAACGTGGTTTCCATATTTCTTCTAAAATTTCTTTTTGAAGTTCATTGACAAAATTAGTTATAATTTTTTTAGTGTGCATTCTATTATTGAGAAATTTATTGATTTGGTCAGATAAAATTTTTGGAACAATGCCATTGATTAAATCGATCACTGTTAAGATGCATTATTCTGATTGTTAAACCACAGGTGATCATGTTCCAAATCTTTTGATGACAATTTTTTTCCTTTATTCTTTTTTTGGACATTTTTTATAAGTTTGCTTTTTGCATTATATAATATTTCTTTAATTTTTTGTACATTTTGTGTACAGTTCCAAATATGTTCAAATGATTCAAGTTGGTTCTTACATAAAGGACACTTCCAATTGTTATATAGATCTGGTCTTCATTTTTTGATGTGTTCAACTGTTGGAAGTTCTTCAATTAATAACTTAATTTTTGAAATTTTCTTGTTTGAAGCAGTAAATGATGTTTCTGTTGATGTTTCAAAGGTGTTGAGAATTCCAAAAGTCAGTTCCCAATCTATTAAAGTTTGGTGATATTTTTTGTTTCTATATAAATTTAGCCAGGTTTCAAATCCCCCATTGTATGAAATATTTGTAATAAGGTGTCATAAATGTTGTTCTATGATAATATTATTCCATTTAGGTATATATCTTAATGATTGTAAAAATTCAGTTGTAATTGAAAAAGGAGGGAAATCATGTGTGTGTGCATTTTTGGCCAATGAATCTACCATTTCATTAAAATGATTTCCATTGTGTGCTTTGACCTTAATAAAGCTAATATCAATTTTTTTTATTTCTAAAATTTCATGAAGTATAATCCAAACAATGTGTTGTGTTGTTTAAAAATATTGCGAGGAGATGTAGAAGAAGTTGTAGAAGTTAATTGTTCATATTGATCAATAGTACATTTACTATCAGTATAAATTCTAATATTTGCATTTGGAGGAGAGACTAATATTACTGCTACCACTGCTATTAGTTCAGATCTTGCTGCTGAGGGCCAAGACCTTAAACTTGCAGTAAATTGTAATTGTGGTGCTGCTGTATGTGTTTGTATATAAGCACAGACCATAGATATATCATGTGTTCCCAAATTTGTCAAAGAATCATCTTATAAAATTCCAGGGTTTTATAAGGTTCTAGAATTATTTGGTGCTGTAGTAATTGATTTTGTATAATTGGATTGTCCACAAATTTTATAATGAGATTATTATCTGGTTGTCTTCTAGTAGGCATATGAAAGCTTGGTATAATTATACCTAGATTAACTTCCATGACAAATTTTGCTTTTGTATATAAGTCAGCTATTGTATAGTTAAGACTATGCTCATAAGCAGAAATTTTTTTTGTATTGATGACAGTTGGATGTTTAAAATTAACACCAGAACAAGAATTGGCAAATCCAAATATTCCAAAAGAAGCTAGAAAAATTTTAAAACCTGGAAAAAATGAAGAGGGTTGGTGGACAGCTGACCAATTGTTAGACCAAGTAATTGAGTATGCTATACCAATATTTGAAACAATTCATCTTGAAGCAATTGCTGTCTTTGCATTTGATAATAGCACCAATCATGGATCCTTGCCAAAAGATGGATTGAATGCTGCACACATGAATGCCAAACCTGGAGGTAAACAACCTTGCATGTGTTCAACATTTTATGGAGCAAATAATACTCCACAGATATGATTTTTTCTGCTAATCATTCAACTCATCCAAATTTACCTAAAGGAATGTGTGAAATTTTAAAAGAAAGAGGGTTATGGATAGATGGGTTAGTTGCTGACTGCAAATTATGTAAAGGAAAAAATACCAAAATAATTGATTTGAAAAGAGTAGATTGTTGCATGAGACGCATTATAGCATTACAACCTGATTTTTTATCACAAAAATCAACTCTTCAAGAGGAAATTGAAAAAAGAAGTCATAAATGTATATTTTATCCAAAATTTCATTGTGAACTCAATTTTGTTGAGATATTTTGGGAGCTGCAAAACATTATACAAGAAAGAATTGAGATTATAAGTGGTCAAGTTTACAAATAGTTGTACCAGAAGCATTAAACTCAGTATCCTTGACAACAATTCGTTGTTATGCACAAAAAAGCTGGAGATATATGAATGTTTATAGAAAGGAATTTCAGGAAGATTAGCTGAGTTTGCAGTGAAAAAGTATAGATCACACAGTAGAGTTCCTGATTCTGTGTATGATGAAATTAAAATTTAAGTATTCTTTTATTTTAATCTAATTTCTTGTTTTGAAACTTTTAAATTTATTGTTTTCCAAATTAAGAAAGATCTTCGACTAAAAAATGAGACTAAATTTTTTTATGTTATAAATCGATTCCTTTTTTAAAGCTGATTTGAATGGTAATATTTTCATTAAAATCTGACAAGTGGATCACACGATATTTAGGTTTTCATAATTTTGAGTATAGACGATTTGCACTGTAAAATTGAAATGGTGCAACTTCACTAACTAATTTTGTCAATGAACTTCAAAAAGAAATTTTAGAAGAAATATGGAAACCGTGCTGTGAAATAATGCCAATTGATGAACAATTTGTATTTACAATATCTAATAATCATAATATCCTTAATGACAATCTAGAATTGGGTAAAAGGGGGATATTACATTCAATTAGATTTGGAGGCAATTGGTTGGATTTTATAGTAATAGCCATTGAATTGAGAATACCAGTTAGGTGCGTAAGCATTAACTTTAAATAGGCCTAGTTGGTTCGATTTTTGAGTTACTAAATGGCAAGTTGGTCTCGTGCACTCCAATTTTTTTTTGGATTCATAGTAGCAGAGGCAGTAGCTTTATTTTTATTATTAAATTGTTTGTATCTTATTATTGTATTTTACACAATATACTCTAATAAAAATAAACTTTAACTTGGAAAAAAAAAAGTAAAATTGTGCAACTTCAAACTAATAAATTCTCTAATTCATTGTTGCTCAGGTTCTAAAGATTGCAAAAATAGTGATTTTTTTCCTTAGTAGTTTGAAGTTGCACTTTTTTTTTTGATGTCTTTATATGATGATTGATCTGCAATGTCCTGTGACTGATAACATAATAATAACGGGGGGAACTCATTCGTAGAGACGATTTCCAAATTTGACTAAAATCATGATTTTAATAATATTTATAGATGAGTTGATTTTATATACAGTACATGGGAAGAAGAATATTGGAACATAGTTTTTCAAAATACTACATAAAAAAGGTCATTTTTTAGTTTTAGATCCTTATAGTTGTGCATACAAAATTGAGAACTTTTTTAATTTTAAAACGAAATTTGATTAAATCACATTTAATTTAATTATTATTATTATCACATGAAAGTAAACGTCTTTATAATGTTTCCGTTTTAAGGATAGACTCGATCATTATAATAGTTTGATTTGAATTTTTATTTATATTTTATATGGTTGTTGTACACATTAAATTATTTAAATTGTTATAACCATTGCATCCATATAACCTGGATAATATGAAAAAATTTAATATGGCTTATCAAAATTTAATCATATTGATAATAAAATTTTCTTACCTCCATATTTGCTAAATTTTGTGGGTTACTTGCCATTGCTATTAAGTCCGAAATTGAGCTATACATTGACCTATTACCATTCTGATGCCAGAATAGATAAAAACAATATTGGAATGATAAATCAATCAACCAAATAGCAATACACAAAAAGAACTAATCAATTAAATTACCTTATCACAATTACTATCAATATTCCCAATCATCTTTGCCTTATTAACAACTTGATCAACAGTTTCTAAGACTTTCTGTCGAAGCAGTTGATCATTAGGGTGTTTTTGACTTATATAATGCCATGTGATTAACTCATCACGAATAAAAATACTCAAGTATTGGCCTAAATCAAACTATATTATACAAAAAGCTTTAACTTTTAAAAATATAGAAATACAAGAGATTATTCAAAAAAAATTTTTATACCTCTGGTTCAGTCAAGCATCGACCAATAGCAAGCATTGCTAATAATAAAAAGATTGAATAGCTAATTAAAAACAGTACGAAATACCTTGCCAAACAATTAGACATACCTGAAGAAAAAATTCCTTCTATACCAATTGGAGTCATAAATTGTTGTATACTGCGAGTAAACCGGAAAGGAACAGGTTCCTGGTTTTGAAACATTGGAGCTCCTTGTGCAAAACCTAATTAAAAATTTTTAAATTAGATGAAATAAATTGAATGCTATTAATAAAAACATAGATGATTTTATAACTTACTCGGAATTAATTCACTGGACCAAATGTTACCAGTATTTCGAGATATCAGAAATTTGTGTGGATGTCTTTGACCAACACAAATTAGATATGTCATAAAAGATACAGATGCCATTTGTGAAGTAAAATGTTTCTTAAATGACCAAAGTTCCTCATGTGATTTGATAGTTTTGGCAATGAACTAAATTATAACAATCATTAGTAATCAATATATTTTTTATATAAATATATAAACATATAATATAATACCTTTGTTAAAACGTCATTTGGTATATACTTTGATTGAATATTTCTTGCTATCTCAATTTTGAGATTTATAACATCTTTCCTCTAAGTTAATGAATAATTCAGTACAAATAATTGCATAAATTTACATGCCAAATCAATTATAGTTAAATTTCTTACTGTAATTGTATGACTTATATTGGATTTCATTTTATTAATAAAATAAATAATGGGCTCATCTTTTGATATCTTGATATCATCACAATGATCTTCATATATATCTTGTAAAGAACAGTATGATGGATCATCCTGCACTATCCTAACTTGTGGAGCAAATGGAATTATTAGAGGAAGATGAAATGATAGATTTCGTTTACGGCTTTCTTTGTGATGTTCGATTACACTTAAAATAATAATATGATGTTGCTTTTAGTAAGAAAGTTTTAAACCTTTAAATAATGCATTTTTAAAAGGTTATTTTACTTACCTATTTAGGATTCTGAAGAGTTGTAACATTCGCTCTTCACGTCGACTATGCCTTGCTGATGGGTACTGAACTGCAAATGGGTGAAGACTACCATCATGTCCTCGTATAGTAAGTCTTCGATAACAAAAACCATGAGATCGAATTATTTCAATTTCTGACATAAAACGATCAATACGAATAAAATCTGAATTATTGTTATCTTTAAGCTACATACATACACACGATCTAATTAGATAACAAACAAGTATAATGTTTACTGTTGACAATTAATTGATTTAAAGCTTACCAATAGATACTGTCCAGGAATTTCTACCTCTTCGAATTTTTGATGCTGAAATTCAACCAAATAGGCACTAAAATATTCTAGATGTTGTTTACGTGGTTTGCTGTCCAATATAACCTCAAACTTGTCTCTCCATCTACGAAGATTTTCAACATATTGTGTGAAATTAGGTTTTCTTTTAATAAAATCATCTTCAAAGGCAGTCTAATAATACATATATATATATATATATAATTTAATTTAATTTAGACATAGCTGTATCAATTTTAAATGGCCTTAACAAAAATAGGAATAACAAACCTTTATTGGACCAAGACTTAGATTATCAGCAAATCTTTTGACATTCATTTCAGTTGTGTGTGTAATTGATTCAATGTCATGATTTTGAGTCAATCTATTTGTTATTTGCTATTCACGAGACAAGAATTGGTATTCTTTTAAATTTATAAAAACTTCAAGCACTCATACAGCAATAAAAGTAATAAAATAATACCTGTAAACCGTCATTTAAAAGTGCAACAATCAATCTATAAATATCCTCATCTGAATTTGGCTTAAGACGTTGTTGAATTTGATCAACCATAGTCTCCATTGTTAAAGCCAATAAAGGAAAAGATGTTTTTAAAGTAGACATTATATCTTCAACATGTTCCCATGGTTGCTTTATTATGAGTTGGGGTTGTGGTGTAGTCGCAATATTTGGCAAGGTACGTTGATGATGAATTGGACTCATTCCAGGTGATTGTGTAATAGGCGATATTCCTGTTTCAGCAACTGTTGGAGTTGTACCTTGCATATTACTTAAAGAATTAGCAGACAGTTTTCCATTAGACAAATAATTAATGTTTTGCATATTTTGTACTGTGATATTGTTGGAAAGAGTTGGAGGCGTTGACATACTTAGAACATTAATTCCTTGTATGGCAGGACTTTGAGGTTGAGAAGACATTTGATTCGATTGATTGGTATTAACTCCAAGAATATTAATTTGAGCAGGAGGACTTCCTTGATTAGAATTACTCTGTCCAATATTTTGTGGGATTGGTTGTTGTACATTTCCAATGTTTGCAATATTAGAACCAATTTGTGATGTTGAAGAAATCACAGGAGTCACTAATTGTGTTGATGATGCTCCTGGATTATTAGCAATAGTTGATGATAGTTGTGCTGCACGAGCTTGTGTTTGAGCAATGGCTACTTGTTTTTTCACCAACAAATATTCTTCTCTTGCTGTTCTTAATTGAAAATGTAATGCCTAAAAAAAAATTGTTACATTCATTAATAACTAATCATTTATTTATTTTCTACAATTGAAGAATATACAACTCACCTGAGGATATTGTTTAGCAATTTTCATAAGGATGCCACGAGCATGCTTTGCCTCTTTATGCATTAGGCATATAATAAGTTGGGGTATGAAAGTTATCCAATACCATACAGGAACTTCTGTTTTATTGAAAAATGTCTCAAAAACAATTGAAATCGTTCCTTGTGCATCATCAAGAGATAAAAGCCATAAGATACGAATTACTAGTTTTCTAGATTTAGCTGAATTATAAAGACTCGCAGCTTGTAAATAACAAGTTAAAGCATATACAGCCAAAACAATTTCATTAGGTTTCTCCTTATATTTGCGATCATTGTAATAACCCCATGCAGCCCAAGCTTTGGCAAGACGCATATCATTTGTTACAGATGTAGAAAATGATTCGTTAGCTTCTTGGTCCCGGTTAGACTTAAGATATATCATTCCTCGTAAAGTATGAAATTCTGCCTTTTGTTGTGTGCTAAAAAAGTTTAAATTTGTATTAACTATAACATCTAGAGCTTGATTCATTTCATTATTTTGATAATGGCATTTTGTTTGTTCTCTCAGCTTCAAAAACGCTTCATTAATCTCAATATTTGGCAAAGCATAAATCTTTTGCAAAAATTCTGTACAAACATCATAAAGTTGATGCTTTCTTGCAACATGTGCAAATCGGTTGATAATCCATGCAGTTTCATGATGTCCACGATGATTAGAATTTACTTGTATGTTTTGAAACTGTTCAAATGATTTACTAATAACATTAAAAATATGTTTTCTAAAAGCAACAACATCACTCCAAATGTTAATATCATCCCACATGTTTGGTAATCTTTCTCTCCAACTTGAAAGAACATTTCTAACTTCATTTTGACTATCTGGGCTTTGAACATTACAATTTGATAAATTGGAAAATATTTTAGTTGCTTCATCAAATTCCACCATAAGTTGAAATGAATGCAATAATGGTATATGGCTTTCTGACACAATATTTGGAAGTGTATACCATTTTTGTAGTGCAAACTGATTGGCTTCTCTGATAAACTTTTTATAATCATCAAAATTATGAGTATGATTTGAATTCATTAAAGCTATGAATGATTCAAATATTTTATATTGCGGGTTTTTGGATATTTCAAGTGATGATAAATAAGAAATTTGTTCACTTAGTTCCTTTTCATTTGTCCAATTTACTAAATGGAATGCACAATTTAACAGTAAATCTTTGTTGTTTTCATCCTTTGCTAAATCATAAAGAATATCCCATTGTTGCAATTTTTCTGCACATAATATCCAACGATCTTCCCATAATATGTATTCAGTTTCAGAACATATTGATCCTGAAGTATTTGATTTATTTAATGCGTTTTCATATTCTATCTGTGCTTGTAACCAATTTCCATTTTGTTCATATGAAATTGCAATATTGGTTTCAAGATATTTACAATGCCTCTTCCATAGACCATAAAACATATCATCCTCTGATAAACTGGAATAAATATCAGCCAAGGCATCTATAGTAAGCTCTTTGAATCTTTCATCATCTTTATCCTTTTCGGACGTTGCATTTTGCAAAATTGCCATTGCAATATGCCAAGCCCCATGTAATTTACCAAGGTATTTAATCAAGTGTGGCGGCAATTTCAGAACAGGTGAGCAATGTGATATTCCATCTAATATTGCTTGTATACAATTTGGTTGGAAATCTTTTTGAACATCATGATAATCTTCTGATAAAAGTGTCACTAATTTGTTGGTTAAATCTTGTCTTTCTTTATTGTTTATAGCTGACCAACAAATTGGGAAAAGATGGACCCATAAATCATATGCTATTTTATTGTCTAATTGGTGGAGCTGTTTTAAAGGTGATAATAGATCTCCAACACATAATTTTTTAACTTCAAATAAAAATTCCCTGTGTTTTTGCAGAAAATCCTCAAATTTTTGATCAATGCTTTCTGAAGAATCTGTAAAAGATGATAAATCACCTAGTGTTGCGATTGATTTGATTTGTAAATTGTGTGTCATTTGAATACTTTTTTTATGAGAAATTGCGCCGATTAAAAGATCCAAAGCCTGATGTATCCAGAAATAATCACCAAGTAATTCCCAATTTTGCTTATCAAGAATATAATGAAGCCGTGGTGGTAAAACTTTAGATAAGCTATGATCAAAGATCTCCATAAATTGATTACGAATTTTGGAATGTTTATAACAAGTTCCCATTAAAAAAGCCTTTTCTAATCTAACTGACAATTCACTCCTTGAAAATAAAGGATCGCTATATATTTTAATAACAAGTTCAAATACATTTTCAATCAAACTATTATCTTCCAATTTTTCATAGCACAACATGCTAACTAATAATTTTGTCTTTTCTTCTATAGTAGGCAATAATTCTTTGTTTAATATCCATTGTTTCACCATGTTAAAAATAGTTTTTGCCAGTTCAATATCTTTTGAGTTTTCAATTAATTGTAAAAGAGATGCAGTAAAACTTTGTCTCATTTCATTGAGTTCTGTTATTCTTAAATTGACTAAATTTAATGCAATTATAAGCACATTGATATAAGTGTCTAAGGATTGTTGATTAGTTATTAATTTATTAGTAGGACTTGTTTCTTGCGGAATTATTCTTTTTATAAGTGTTTGTATTGAATTAATTATTCCATTTAGAAAAGGATCGATGTTTTTTGGTATAGTACAACTGATAGCTTTTAATAACATCATTGCTTGATATAAATTGTTGGGATCTTGAATAGCGTCTTGTATTGTATTATTAACTAATTGAGTAAAGGATCCTATTTCTGCACCTGGTGTAGAAGTGTTTGTTATAATTTCAATGGTTGTGTTAGTACTACTAGTAGCTTTAGTTGTAGTTGTTTCCATCGCTGATGGTGTTGATGTTGATGCAGGTACTATGTTTGTAATGTTTGTTTTAGTTGTAGCAGTCATAGTTTGTTCAGATTGTTGAGTTAATTCGTCTTCAACAAGAGGTGGAGTTATAGCTTTATATATGTGAATTAAAACAGGATTAAGACATCTTTGAATACACATAATATTACTTATAATACTACGTTCAAGTAATGGTTGTAGATGAACTAAATTTGTACGACAATATTCCGAGGGTTTCTTTTCCAAAATAACATTTAAAGCTTCTAAGTTATTACAAATACAGTCTATATTATTGCTAACTTCATTAAATTTCAATGCACGTTCAAAAGAATTCAATTTCACATTAACTTCAGGCCAGAACTCAGGCTGTAAAAGTTCCTTAATTAGATCAAGAGCTCTGTGTGCTAATAAATTTTTACTAATAGGGTCACTGGAAGCAGACACAAATCTGACAAGATAATTGACAACGTTTTCGCGTAAATAATTGTTGGGAATGTAATTTGTATTGTATTCAGATAAATTCCTTGATTCTGAAAAACCATATTCTAGATTTTGTCGTTTTTTTGGTGAAAACTCAGTTTCCAACTCTAAGCGTCGCTTTCCAGGGCTCGCAGTAGGAGTAGATGATGCTGGGCTACTAATGTTTTGTTCATTCATATTATTTTCATTGAGGCGACAACGTTCCCATTTGAGAATCAACTCAGCAAGATCTATTGTTAATAATCTGGTTTCAGGTGTTGCATTTTGGAGTAATCCTAACCTGGTTAATGTGTTGGCAATTTGTGGCATAAAATGTTCTCTGTATTCATAAAATAAATCAGGGCACATCTACATAAAGTAATTTTTCCAACCATTAATATAGAATCAAAAAATAATAAAAGCCTAAGTGATGAAAAAATGGATCTAGATATAGAGACACCTAATGATATTCCAAGTCAACAATTAATTAAAAGCAAAACTAATAAAGATGGCGAAAAGAATATTTCAAAAAAGAAAGCCGTACAAGAGGAGACATTGAAAAATGTTTTATGTGCTTTATTTTTTGCCTCGTCTTTGTCTGAACTTAAAGAATATTCATGGCCATTCTTACAAAATATTTGTCGGCATTTTGCATTTTTAGAGATTGGTGAATTAATTGAATTCAATAAAGCAAAAAAGGAAAGATTTAATTTTAATGTTGATGATAAAAGATATAGTTTTGAGACCAAGGCAATGTTAGAGGCTTTAATTGAAACCATTACATCTGAAAATCTTAAATTACGTAGTTTGGCAAGTTCAGCTATAACAATTATTTATGAAGCTTGTTTATTAATTTCTGGATCAAAACAAATAATTAGCCATTGTCCTTTCTTCTTTTTCCTAGCTTCAAGGTTTTGTTCATGCTGTTACCAACAAGAATGGTTTTATAAAAGTGGTGGTTGTTTAGGCATATCTATAATAAGTTCTCAACTTAATATGGGCATTAAATGGATGTTAGATCATGAGATAGAATTCGTTAAAGCTCTTCTTTTTGTATTGAAAGATATTTCTCCTGAATTTGCAGCTGGAAATATTGAGGATGTACCACAAATTCTCTTACGTATTATTGAGATTTGTAACCAACAAAATTCATCATCAATTGATAGTGATGTTGAAATTCAAGATTCTAATGATAAAAAAATCAAGTTTGATAAGCTTATAATCACATTAACTTCAGAATTATGCAATGTAAATGAGTCTGTAAGAGAAACAATACATTCAGCATTTAAACTTTTAAGTGAATTGACTCAAAGGACTATTACCTGTTTACTTTCCCAAGCTAAAGACATTTTAATTAATTTAATGTTTGGTCAACCTCTTAGAGCTTTACCAGTTTCAATGCAAATAGGTCGTATTGATGCTATTACCTATTGTTTAACACTGCAGCCACAATTCTTAACATCTCAATATTACGAAGATCTTACAAGGATACTTGGTGAAGTGGTGTTTTTAGTCGATGTTGAAGATGATCAGGCTTTATTGAGTCGTAATTCATTATATAAGAATCCATCTGTCTTGAATAAACTTCGTATTGTCTGTTTGAAATTATTGAAAGCAGCAATGACTTTGCCTGATGAATTATTTTCTGGAAATAATCCAAATGTTACTAGACCACATATTATTGGTATTTTTTTCAAAACATTACATATGAATATTCCAGAGATTATTGAAGTAGGAACAAAGGCTCTTCAACAAGTCATTCAACAGCAACACAAACTGTCTAAAGATCTTTTACAATTGGGAGTTAGACCAATTTTAATTAATTTTTCGGATCCTAAAAAATTAACAGTGTCTGCATTAGATTGCTTAGCAAGATTATTGGAATTGCTTAAAAGTTATTTTAAACCAGAGATAGGCAAAAAATTGTTAGATCATCTCCAACAATGGGCTGATTCAAATTTTTTAGCGTCCACCGCAGGAAAGTCACTCACTGAAAATGAAAATATTAAAGTTATTGTTGCAATCTTAAATATATTTCATCTACTACCTTCATCTGCAAATAGTTTTTTGGAAAACTTGGTACCTATGGTTTTAAATTTAGAAGAAAAATCATGTCGTTCCATATCAAGCCCTTTTCGTTTACCTCTTACAAAATTTTTAAATAGATACCCCACAGAATCTGTTGAGTACTTTTATAATAATATTAAGGATTATCAGTATAGTCAATTGTTCATCAACATATTGGGTACTGATGAAGCTTTAAAACTTAGAGAGGAAATAAAGAACAATCCAGTAAAATTGATAGAAAAGGTTTCAAGTATTCAACATTCAGATGCAAGTAATTATGTTGATACTTTAATCAGAACAATTTTGATTATTAGACAGATTATCAAATTTGATCCAAAATGGTTATCAGAAATTTCATCAACCCCTGTCCTGATATTTTTAAAAGAAGCTTGGAGGGATCAAGGCCGCATCAATAGACTAAAAAATGAAAATACTTTAAACTTAAAACAAATGCATGAATCTAAATATTTATTAGAGATTTTCTGTGTTTATTTGAAAGAAAAGCCAGAAGATATCGATTTGCTTTTTGAATTTGTTTCTATTTTCTCAAATAAAAATATTATTGATTATACATTTTTAAAAAGATTTTATCATGAAGAAGTTGCCAAAAAATATCCAGTTACACAAAAGCAAGCAATCCTCAAAAAGTTCCTAGACACATTTTCTGATCCAAATATTCCACCTAACATTAAAACACTATCACTAAAGATAATAATTACACCAATGTTATTATATGATTTTGCCAAACACTGTGAGTCAAACAATTTAAGCCTTTCTGTCTCTAACACCTACCAGGAGCATGGAAAAATTATTGATACTACTCAAATGGATAAAATTCAATCTTTATGGCATTATCTGGCAGATAACCATGATGAAATAGAGGATTCTTTACGCATAGAAGTTCTTCAATTTTCAACAGTTATTGTTAAAAGTGTACCAAACCTCATAACTACACGTAGTTCACTTATTAAATTTGGATGGAATTGGTCAAGAGTTGATGATATCACAGCAAAACATTCAGCGTTTGTGTTTTTAGCTGCATGTTTTGCAGAATTTGATCAGGTCAGTTTAAGAATGCTATTTCAATCTTATACAGCACTCTTAAAGGCTCATCAAGTAGAGGCAAGGGCGTTGGTAAAACAAGCATTGGATATGCTTGCACCGAAATTTATTTCACCTCAGTCACAGTCATTTGATGAATCCAAGAAAGATTCAAAAAAGAAACCACCGCCGAATTGGATTGTATATACAAAAAGAATTCTTTTGGAAGACGGATATGGTTTGACTCAACTAATTAATGTATATCAATTGCTTGTTAGGCACCCTGACTTATTTTATGAATACAGAGAGCATTTTATGCCACAAATTGCTAACACATTAACCAGATTAGGTTTACTGCAAAATGCAACATCTGAAACTAGACTATTAACGATAGATCTTTCTGAGCTGATTCTCAAATGGGAACGCTGTCGTCTCAATGAAAATAGTACCAATGAACAAAACAGTAGCAGTGCGGCATCTACCCCTATTGCAAGTCCTGGAAAACGACGTTTGGAGTCTGAAACTGAGTTTTCACCAAGAAAACGACAAATTCTAGAATATGGATTTTCAGAATCAAAAAATTTGTCTGAATGCAATTCAAAATACATTCCCAATAATTATTTGCGTGAAAATGTTGTCAATTATCTTATCAAATTTGTGTGTGCTTCCAATGATCCTATTAGTAAAAATATA